TTTTACTAATATCATTACTTCCTCTTTTGCCCAACAAGACTAGTCAATCTGACCACTCACTGTTAGGGAAAACTCCGCCCACACACCGACTCCTCCAGTCAGGGGTAGGGCCATCTCCTGTACAGTCCCCTACTTGGACAATACAGTATGACCCAAATAGAATATAAAGATATCTAAGCACCACAAGGAGGGACTAAATTCAACTTTTCTGCACTCGTATAGCCTTCAAGTACACAACAAAATGTATTTAATGGCTAAAAAAGTGGATTTTACATCATAGGTCCACTTTGATCAAAATGAAATAGATTTTTTTTGGAGTGCACAGAAATATAATGACAGGTAGAGACAGAATAATGCCTATAACAAGAACATATTTGTGTTCATGTGACCTTTGACCTGAGCAACATTATCCAAGCAGCAGTTATGTTGAAGAGCGGGTCATTAGTGTAGCTCTAGCTGGGAAAGAACAGATAAAAGTAGTAATTTTACTTTGAAAATTCACCTGGTTTCTCTGCAGAAGGTGAGACGCCTCTCTCTACCATCTCACACTACATTTGCAGAATCTGGATGGAAAACAATATTTATTTAGGCATTCTGATCTGATATTACGCCACAGAGAATGCAGTTATGTGAAAGTGTCACGACTTCTCTGCTCTCTCTCTGTCAATACTTTGAACATTGGAGAAGCAAAGTCACAAATGAACATTAGTTTTTAATAAAATTGTTGAATTTTATTAAAATATTCTGTTCCTATACTGTCTCTGAAAATGTGGTTTGAATTATGAATGATGTTTTTTATACCTGTTTATGATTTCTTTATATAAAACAGGGACAATATACACAGTATAGATTAACCATAAAGAGAAAGATGCACTGTCTCAGGTTATAGCTAAGTACTAATTTCTGCCTGTAGTACAAAAAAAAGTTTAAAGGATTACCCTAACTTCCTTTTTGTTTTGTTTTTTGTTGTTCACTCTGTCAGAAGACTCCAGCGTCATGAAAACACCTGAAAATTCAAATAAAAATGGCCTTTACAACCTCAATAGACATTTGAATTGAATTAGGGATAATTATTCCTGCACTCTATCTGCTTCCTCTACTTTAGTGGTTATAAAACTAATAGTCTCTGTTGCAGCATCAGACACTGACTTCAGTTTGTTCTGCTGGAGATGACATCTTAAGACGGATCTTTTAAAAACTTCCAGACACAAACAATAAGAGACTCGGTCTAAGTCGAACAAAACCGATGACTTAAAGTTTGCTTGTTAATTTAAGCTGTAAACAGGTGGTTGGAAAGCCTTTGTGCCTGACCTCATGTTTGACATTCAAACTTCCTGACTCACCCTAATGTAATGATGTTTCCACACACCCCCCACTCGGACAAACACAGACACGCAGCTTGTAGATTCAAAATAAAAGCTCATTGGAATTAATAATGATCCTATAAGCTCTAATTTTACAGGAAATTTTATTTTAAAATTCATAATAATGAATTTATTGTGCTTGTTCTAACAATGCCATACACTAAAACATTTGTAGCCTAGGCTAATTTGCAATGCCAGTACCCAGATGGCGCAACAACAACAAAAAAAAAAAATCAATAAAAGTTTAAATTAATTTAATTAATTCAAGTATAGCTTTTTATTTTTAACGAGAGTTTTTGATGTAAGACATAAAGCAGTGACATAAAGAGCTGTTCTTCTGAGTATAATTTGATACATAATAAATTCAGGCTTTAACGTGTGTCATGCTGCTGAGTTTACTGCAATATCTAGTGCCCTCTGCTGGACAAAAGTGGAACACATCAGAAAAGGGATGAAGTCAAACATTTCTTTGTTGATGAACACTATAAGTTGTTACTTTCACCTTGTTTCTAACAGAGTGTGATACCAAAAGGAGGTATTAAAGTGTTTTTATAAGAGCTTGGAGCTGCCGAGTGAACTAGCATTACTATGGGAGTCAAAAAGCCGACTGATGGCAACAAAAACAGGCACAAAGAATGAGAGAAAAAAAATAGAGAAAAGTGGGATACATTTCATAAAAGAGAGGGAACAGGGACGACAGGGTTAATTATTTGTGTGTGTATGTGTGTGTTTCTTGAGGGGAGCCTCTCCTCTTGAGCTGGCTCAACATGACTGAACTCCATCCAGGATCCTCAGCAGCTCAGCTCAGCCGGGCCTGAAGCTGTGAGCACTGCTACTGCTAAGAGCTGGTTTCCTGTCCACATTCCTCACCTCTGGGCTGTGTTTGTCCCAGACTGAGGGGTATAAAACTGAGAGAATCTCTCTGAACGTGCATCTCTTTTTTGTTTTGCTGGTTTCGCTCGGCTACACGCTGCTCAAAAGATGGCACTCTGTCCAATCGATTTAACCTGCACACTACAGCTTGCCAAGTTTGCACAGTCATCCTTTATTCTCAGCAGTTTTTCTTACAGTTTTTTATGACTGCTGTGTTTTCATCTTAAGTTCAGAGAAAATCCACCCTCCAGTGGAATCTGGGACTTTTAAATCCATTCAGCCAGTTCTGTTTGCTAAAAGGAGATTTTTTTAATACATTACTTGAACTTACAATGATGAATCGTACATTTGTTTTTCAATGCCCCATCAGAGCATGACTCTACAAAATGAAACGGTTACTAAGCAGTTTTTGTATCTTTACAGTGGAATTATAAGACATGACTTYCAACAAGCTTGTGCTAAAATGTCAGGCTAATGATTTTGCTAAATCTGTAAGTTTTGCTTTCCACAGTTATTCGACAGTTAGCTACCAATGCAGCTATTTACCCTTGTAAATTAACAAATAATTATATGTTTATAACCCTGTAAAAATATTATAAAGAACTTTATTCATTTTTTATTCTTGCTTATAGGTGGAATTCAATAATATCTTACTCAGGGTAAATATTTAGTGTTTAGTGCATAGTGTGATTTACTTTAACATAGAGTATAAACTCAAACGTTGTCAAACTGGTTTGGACACTCATCTATTTCATCTTTGGCTGAGGTTGAATTGTTCAACACACACACACACACACAAACACACACACACACACACACACACACACACACACACACACACACACACACACACACACACACACACACA